GCTGGTTAACATACAAAAAGACATAATGTAGGGTACTCCTGTGTGTACAACACTCAAGTAGAACAAACTTGTACTCAAGTACAAAAAACAGTAAGGGGCAAGAACATCAGGCTTTAAAAAAAATGAAGAGGCTGGAGGGGGAGGAAACCAGAAGCCACAACTTAATAAAGCATACTGTTGAACTAAACTTTACGTGCCCCATAAAATATTACTGTTAAAAATACCTTAACAGTGCTGAAAAATCACTTTGTTAAGGGAAAGAAAAATGGGAAATTTGAGTCCAATAAAGCACCAAGAATACTATAGTACAGGTCTCTTATTAGCAATCTAGGAGTAGATTATATTGTGTATAAAGGACCAACAATCTTCCCTAAAAATTAAATTGCTTGGCATGACAAGGAACAAGAGATCATAGTAAGCTACTCTTAGAAAGGAAAATGTTTATTTTTCAAGAATTCATAGACTAATTAATAAATTATCACTGGATAAATACAAAACAGTTCAGCATGCACAAAAATTAAGTTTAACTTTTGAAGTTTAATTACACAGGCCCTACCTCTTCTATATTACCTGCTCAATTAATGATGGATTCAATATCTGACAAGGCAGTTAGAATGTAATTTTAGTGCTTTTTTTTTTCTCTTCCAGGTGCTGACTATGAATTCCTCATGTTTTCTTCAGAACATTTCACAGTGGCTAGTAGATACAGGACACCTTGCAGACCATATTCCTAACCAAAGAATGGCTACAGGAGCTCACATGCTTTTAGGAATTTTCTAAGGATTATTTTGTAGATCTGTTTTTTTAAAGCTGACATGGACAAGAAAAAAAGGAAAAAGAAGCAGAGAAGCTACATTACAACTATTATTACTCAGGTTTTGAGTTACTGCTGCAAGCTGACGCAACTAAAATGACTTAGATCTGACACGTACACTTTAAGGTGCAGCTTGACCTTCTAAGTCTGAATCACTAATTTTAAGTAAACCCTATGAACATTTGAATGTTAAAGCACAGTGTAAACTCTTCACACTGCCTTTTCAGAATGCAATGCAAATGTTCTACCACACTCCACAGACCCATTAATTGCTAAGCAAAGGCAAGCTGATTAGCACAGCTATGCTGGCAAAGCTAATTAACTCTACAAACTGTAACTGTAAGAGGGGGTGGTTTGCTTTATGTACAACAAAGTAATCAGCTCTGGAGAAAAGCTGATAAGCGTGCATCCCAGAGCATAGTGTTTTGGCTGAACAATCAGGTTGAAATTTTAATAGACGACAGTTGACCTTTGGCTGACTGATGCCTATTTACTTACAGGCAGCAGCTGCTCTTTGGGGACTTGTGTGCATTAAAGAAACAGGAAAATATTTTTGCTTATTTTCCCTTCTGAAAAGATCCAGGAAATTATATGGAAAAGAGGCTCTAGGTTACTGACACATGAAAACTACGTAATTAAATATTCTCAGGAAATGTACAAATCCACCGGGGTACAATCTTTGCTTCACGGTCTGAAAGTTCCACAACCAGCTTAATTATATCAGAGTTATATACCTGCATTTTAAGAGGTATATTATTGTGATATCTCTTAAAAAAGCAATTTGTAATAAGCCAAGCAATGTTACAAAAAGCAGTATTTCAGAGCCCATGGAAGCAGTTCAAAATTTCAGCATCATACCGTCTGTTGGTTTTTGATTAGCAATAGAAATTTTGAATGTGAAAACTAAAAATCAACCTATGCTGATAAAAATTCTGTGACTGGAACCTATTCTACTGACAATAAACCAAATCGAGAATTATTTTTGTGATCAGTATTGTGTAAACACTTTTTAGTCAAGTGATAACAAGAGGGCTATACACCCTGTATGAAGGTTCAATTCTTTTTAACAGTTACTTTTACGAATAAAGCAACACCATTCATGTTCCAATCTTCCCCTGTTCTTGATGTGCCTAACTACACAAACCCCTTCCCTCCCTCAGCTGTACTGAATAGTATCTGTAACAATCCTCACACCGTGTCACTAAAGACATTGAATTCCAAAGAATAAACTAAAAAGTCTAGAAGCTTACTACAAGGATTACTGTGTTCAGTCATGTTATTCTCCATCCAGATTAGTTGCACTTGCATGCCAATTTGAATAACTGAAAAAAAAAAGTGTTAACTATCATTTGCTTCATCTATGTGCAAATGATGATGTAAGATAGTAAAATAAAACCATACTTTTCTGTCACAGCAGTTTACTACTGAACAATGCAATCTCTTTTGTTTTATAACTAATACCCTTAGTTAAACAAGGGTAACAAATGAAATAATCTCAAATAGAATTTACTTCAAATTGTAATATATATCAGTTGTTTTTAGCATCATCTACAAAATCTTAACTCGAGAAATCAAGTTAACATTCTTGGATACCACATTTCACATTCATTGTATTTTTTTTAAGAAATACAGTAAGAAATACTTGGTTCACGTGACAGGTAGCTGAATTGGGATGCATCTCCAGGTGGGTTGTGGAAAGAGAACAAGTAAAATGAAGGAACAACCACCACTGTAAAGTAATTTTCACAAAGACATTCCTCGAATGTCTGAGAACTCTTCAGACACATCTTTAACTCTAAGATGTGACCAAGCAGGATGCAAAGATTTTGTCTATTTGTCTAGACGTGCCAGACACTTTGCAGCTTAGTGCATTGAAACCGTAGTCTGACCAAGCAGTGCACATCCAGAAAACCTAGGCAAGACTAGCACACGTGCATACCAGCTCTGCCCTGAATTAGTGGTATATCAGTGCTTTTAAAAACAAATCCTACTGAGCACACTGTACAGTCCATCTACAGTAAATCTGTGCAAATATACAACACCTCTTGTTACACATTAGCACACATGCTAAGATGACTGCTGCCTACAGAACACTGCTTACACAATCTCTTTAAGCTGAGTCTGAGCTAGCTGGGAAAAAAACAGACTTTTTGATAAGCCACAGTATCTTCTGGACTTTGACTACGACCAGACTCCACTTTTACTTCACTGGTCAACTGAAATATTACTATGAGCTGCTCCAAGAGGTCTCCTTCTGTTCAGGCTTCAAGTTTTTATTTATTTCTTCTTTAAAGTTGTGTCAATTTTCCCAGTAGGAACATAACAATTGGAGTTGCAAGTACAAGGATGAATGGCTCTAGAACTGAACTATAGATTTGTTTCAAGATCCCTGTAGACAGTGAAACTCCAATGCCTTTTCAAAGCTCCAAAAAGATCTCCACTTGCCTGTTCTATTCATAGCTTCAGATGATACTGTCTACATCCTGTCATAGAAAAAAATAACTTCCCCCTGCTCACTTCACCTTTTCAGATCTGCCTATCACTTTGCATACTGCTGTCATGCTCCACTTAATCATCTCATTGCAGAATGAAGACTCCTAGTATATTAAGTGCTTCTTTTAGAGAAGCTGGTTCATACCTCTAACAATTCAACACAAATTTCTTGGTACCCATTTTAGTTCCACCATATCCTCTCGGACCAAAACTGCACTCAAGTGTACTAAATGCTAACAACTGATGTGATGCATAGAACAACACAATGAAGATTCTGCTCGTTGGTTTTGTTCTCTACTCCTTCTTAGTATTTGATTCTCCTAGTGTATCTCTGTCAAGCTATCTGATTAAAGGCTGATCTCAGTCAACACAAAGGTCCAGCAAGGATAAGAGGAGGAAGAACCCTCCTGACATTATCAGTGAAAAGTGAGCACCCTGACTCGGCTTCTCCCTCAAACTGCAAAAGGAGAATGGACAGATCATTGTCCCTGGGTGAATCCAGCAGGGATATCCTCACCCTGGAATCCCACGCTAACTAAAGTGGGCTACTAACCACTGGGCTACAGTACCGGGGCACTCTTATGGGATGGAGGGGTACAGAATTCTGGGATTGTATAAAACTTATCATAGGGTGTTTTCTGGGGAATGCAGGGGTGTGCACAATATCCTATGGGATGGCTAGGGAAAGGATCAATGGTGATAAAGGGAAGGCTCAAACCAGACTAGGAAGGAACAAGCAATGGAAAACAAAGGGAAAAAGGGGAGTGTAAAGGGACTGCTGGTCCATATGCTTGTATGGCTGAAACCTGCCCTTTATCATCTCAGTCAGTCCAAGACCATAGGAGTGTGCCAGAGAGCTTCTTGTGATGTATAGGAAGAAATGCTTATGCATCTGACTACCTCCTTAAAAAAAATAAAAACAATTTGGTCTGAAGCAGGAGAGTAAGTCTTCTTTAGACTTGCTTCTCAGTTAATATTTTTTTTTTTAAAATCCCACCGCTGAAATTTACAATCTCACTACTAAAACATGCTGGTTTACAAGTTATATGTCACCATATATTTGTCTCTTTTTTTGCAGACCAGAAGAGTTTACTAGATATATATACTCACATTCAGGGAATTAGTTTTCAGGCTTACTCAGCTTCTTTGAAAAACATTTATTTTAATCTCAGAAGTAAGACTCACACAAATGAAGCATGATTAAAAAACCCTGAAAACTCTTTTGCTCCAACCAATAATGAAGACAAGTTTGCACAGGCACAGAAAAAAAAGTACGTATTCTAAATACCTAATAAATAAATATCGATGTTGACGACTGGAAACACTTATTAAGCTTGCATTGATGTCAATACTTAGTCTTTTCCTTTGATTCTGCATATACTTTAAAAAACAGGACTACAGCTCCTTGAAATGTGAAAATTTTACTGATGCCGTGCTTTACTTAGGCACTTTTTCCAAGTTATAGGAACATCAGGCCAAGTGTTTCAAAAACTTGCTTTGAATTTTCAAGTTGAATTTTGCATTTTAAAGAAAACACTAAATAAAATTATCTTGCTAGTTTACAATGAAGACATATGTGCAAAGACTACTTTTTAATTTTCGGCTCACTAAAGAAGGAACAGAAAAGAAAGAAATTACCTTAATATTTCAATTTGGATGAAGAGATTTTTAGTCAGAAATAAAGCAAGTACCTTTAAAAAGTGGTAAAAAACACCTTGCAAATACTCACCATACTTCTTCTAATGTAGTCTATCGCTTTCTTCATGTCCATGCCTGACCAATTATCAAGCATGTAGCAGATGCAGGAAGCACAGTACACAAACCTCATATCATTCTCACTTCCTTCCAGCACTGCACAGAAACTGAAAGAAATGCTGCTGTCATTACACACCACTATAGCCTGTCACATCAGCAGTCCTTCACCTATCCCAGCACATACTGCACCCGCAGTACTGCGCGGGGTTCTGTGCCTCTCACTCCAAGAAGAGCACTGATGTGCTGCAGCAGGTGCAAAGAAGGCACGAGGCTGGTGAAGGGTCTAAAGCACACGTCTTACAAGGTGCAACTGAGGGAAGTGGGGTTTTTTTAGCCTGAAGAAAAGGAGCTCAGAGGAGATGACATTGCTCCCTACAACTACCTGGAAGAATGCTGTCGTGAGGTGGGGGTTGGTCTTTTCTCACAAGTAACAAGTGGTAAGACAAGAGGAAATCGCCTCAAGTTGCACCAGGGGAGGTTTATCAGGAATATTAGGTTGGATATTAGGAAAAAAATCTTCACAGAAAGGGTGATCAAGTGCTGGAACAGGCTGCCCAGGGAAGCAGTGGAGTCACCATCTCTGAAGGTATTTAAAAGATGTGTAGATGTTGCACTCAGTGATGTGGTTTAGTAGTGGGCTTGGCAGTGTTAAGTTAATGGCTGGACTTAATCTTAAAGGTCCTTTCCAGCCTAAATTGTTCTGCGATAAGCAGAAATATGCAGTAAGTTTAATTACCTGTGACAGTAAATAAATCTTTAATTATCTGTTGTATGATTTGCTGCTTGACAAGTCTCCACTTGGTGCAAAGAGCTCGTTAGGATATTTTGATAACTTAACCACTTGCAAGAAGCTAGCAAACAAAGTATTTGGACGAGTCATCCTAACACATCTCTTCTAAAAAAAAGAAAAAAAGGTACTTCTGACTTTAATGACAGTCTTTCAAGCATAACTATCACCACTATGACACTCCCTCTTTGACCCTGCAATTCAATTATGTACCCCATCTCTTCAACACAAAGCCTCCAACATTTATAGGGACATACTCTCACATTTCCTAATCCAAATGGTGACAGGCCCTGCACTCTGAAGCTCAGGTAGGGATGTATGCCACTGCTTTCCAGATATGACACAGGACATTCTGGAAAACCAGGATGTTTTTTAACATGTGCTAGTACTATGGTTTACAGTCTTGCACCATCCTCAAGTGACAACAGCACTGTATGTTATGCAGATACTTCAAATCACACTCAGGTAATGTAAGGTAGAAATTATAATACACACATTTATTCATAATGTAAAAAGATACAATGTAATTTCAAGTTCTTTGTTTGTTCGTTTTCTTCACAACATTCTTTTATTAAATAAGATTAGCATACCTCACTTATCTGGACGGCAGAGCAGAAAAACAACTATCCTTGCGACAAACTAATCCATTAACTTTGCAATAATAAGTGTCAAAGTTGTAAGCAAGTACCATCCCTCCCTAATACAAAAGCAAATCTATACACAAAGTGTGGTTGGTCCTGTAAATGGGCATGTGTTCTACGACTGACACTGATTATCCACCCACCAGAGTATTTTCTAATAAGAAGAGAGAATATATAGCTACTTTCATAAAAAACATGTTTCTTATATTTCATTCCACATCTAGGTTTTCTATTAACCTTCCAAAGAGCTGTAGAATATAAAATATCTTTTACCTGCCATCCTCCAGCTGAAGAGCTCTCAGTCCTGCCAGTACAGCATCTTTATTTACTCGACTTAAATCATCTCCAAGAATAACCAGACTTGACAGACCTGTGTAAGTCATTGCGATGTGTCCACTATCATAGGGATGAGATATACCTGGACCCTAGAAAAGAAGGGAGAAAATGAAAAATATTGAGACATCACAAGACCTTCTCTTACAGTCATTTAGAAAAAAAAAAAAAAGGTGGTAAACAAAGTTCTTTTTCCTTCACTCATTACAGTTGAAACTGAAGGCATCCCACTCAGCTTCTCTAATCAAACTGAACTACTGAACAGCTCTGCTACCCTTGTAAACAGCTGGTCAGTAGGAAGGAAGCTTTGGAAAAAAGTTTTGCCAAGAGTGATGTTTATGTAAGGTTAAAGCAAAAATATGGGATGTGCTCCACTGTACCTAAGTTTATCCTGACACACCAACTGGCATTAGCTTCCTGGCAGCTGGGAAAGCACTGTTAAACAGTCAAACCTCTGGAAGTCTCTTTGACAAAGACCTCACAATCTAATGGTTTAGAAGTAGAAAGCAGTGTAAGCAATTATTAGTAATCTGTCAATCGGAGCAATGAAAAAATAGCCTCTCCTCCATTTTCACCTCTAGTGTGAAACAATAATCAGTACTCAAAGTATTTATGTAGTAAGTAACGTCAACTGAGAAGCTAAAATTAGAGTTAAATGGTGACCAGTAGCACAACACAAATCGCAATAATGGGAGGGGGATTGATAGAGCTGTGCTAAATTTTTCCTTCTGATTTTTTATATCCACATCCTGGACTGTACCATTTCATGGAAACAGAAATCATGTGTAACAAGGCGATTTTTAATACTCGGTATTGTTCAATCTGGAGCAACAGTTTAACTACTTCAAACAGGCTAAAACCTGTTTTGATACTGAGTAGTAGAGAAAAGCAAGTTTTTAAAACGCATTTTACTAGCATGATTGCCTAGTCCGTTGTCATCTTCATTTTACAATTAACCTTAAATACACATGCAAAAAGTGATATAAAACAAAATTTAAAGTAACATTATATGTAATGTATTTTTCAGGCAAGTCACACTTATTTTCAAAACCAGAAACCTTTCCTTCTAGTATGAAATTGGGAGAAAAATACTTATTACCCACTAGAAAGCAAGGGACTGCTCTCACTCCAGGGAATCACAGCTGGGAAAAGGAGGCAGAAAACATGGTGAAAGTGGCTGCAGCAGCACTGAAAAAGCTCCAGCTGTGCAACAGAAAAGGGGAACAAAGGAGTGAGCACTGAGAGCTGCACCTCCTCTCCCACACTTCCAGTCCTGGACTGCCTGTTGGAAGGGGACACTGATCTCAACAGCTTCCATGCTGTCAAGGGCTAGGGCTGGGCCAGCTGCTAAACAAATGACAGACACTCTTTATTAACCCCTCTCCATTCACCAAAAGGGAAGAGAAGGGGAATAAGGGAGAGAGAAATGGATTGGAAAAATAAAATTGCTTTAGTGAAAATAATAACAGTAAAATGAAATATATACTAAACCAGTATCTAACCCAATCCCCATGACAGCAATTATGTCACCGTCGCCACTGATGCTGTGGGCCAGGCATTGGGGAAGTCCCAGACTGGACCCAGCAGCAGACAGGAACTGATTCATGAGCCGAATTCTGCATCTGGATTCAGGAACACACAGATCAGGAGTGAAAGCAGAAGAGACAGAATTCTCCACAGACACTGGCCATTCAAGAAACAGAACCTGACCTTCGTGATCCCTCAGCTTTACACTGAATATGACATGTATAGGATGGAATACCTCATTGGGTCAGTTTAGGGTCACCTGTCCTGTCTGCTCCTCCCCACAGGTGCAGCCTTTTGATGCTGCACCCCCAGTATGGCACACAAGATTTAGCAGTGACCTCGGTCTTCAAGGAGTAAGTATAAGGAAGAGCCTCTCTGCACATCAGTCCTTGGCACTAACTGTAAATATTAACTAGTTATCACTGCTAGAAGTAGAAGTAGACACTGTCTGTGAAAATCTGCCTCTAGCTTCAGAAAGTGCAGTCATTTGGAAGAGACAGAGCTGAAAAGTAAAATCACTGAACAGAATTGGTTCTCTTCTAGCTCAAACCAGGACACACACCTACCTCTGAACTGCCTGCTCAGTGATGCCCTCATCACTGTTCCCTGTCCTGCACATCCCTCAGTCACACACACAGTCACAGAGTGGTGGAGGCTGGCAGGGAACTCTGGATGTCACCTGGTCCAACAGGGTCACCCAGAGCCAGATGCCTATGGCCAGATGGCTTTTAAGTATCTCCAAGTATGGGGACTCCATCACCTCTCCGGGAAACCTGTGCCACTACTTGGCCACCCTCACAGTGAAAAAGGGTTTCCTGATGTTTGGGAGGAGTCTCTTGTGTTTCAGTCTGTGCCCATTGTCTTTGGTTCTGTCCCTGAGCATCACTGGATCTGTCCTCTTTGCAGCCTCCCTTCAGGTATGAAATCCTCCTGAGGCTTCTCTTCTTTAGCCCAAATATCCACAGCTCTCTCAGACTTTCCTTGTAGGAGAGCTGCACCAGTCCCAGACAGGCTTCCCCATGGTGCACCCCAACAGAAGCAGGACAGCTGTGTTCTCCAATAGCTTAGAAAAAGCTACTGGGGTCATGGAATGTGTTTTTCTAACTTGAGTGCATGACAGATTCTAATCCCTGAAGGAACAACTTGGCCTATCATGCCAATTCTAGGGATTTGAGATCTAAGAGAACCAAAAATCTTTATTTCAGAACACCTTCCCCTTAAAAAAAGTTATTATAATGAGATCAGCCCTTGTGATGCATCAACTTATTTCAAATGGAAAATTCTGCTCCAAAAATTCTGACATCTATGTGATACAAATTTGCCTTGACACAGAGAAGTATTAGGTTTAATGTAATTGACTAACTTTTAAGCAAAGCCAAATTTGAACCAGTTTTATTCTAAAGGATTCTCAATGTCCCAGCTCTGTGGCTGTGACATCCTCTATTGGATGTGTGGGGAAACACAGTGACCAAGGATGAGGAAAAGGCTGAGGTAGAGAATATACTCTTTGCCTCAGCCTTCAGTAGTAACATCAGTTACTCTCTGGGTACTCAGCCCTGAGCTGGAAGACATGGACAGGGAGCAGAATGGGGAAAAGTGGCTGGGAAGCTGCTCAGTGGAAAGGGGCCTGGGAGTGTTGCAACAGCCGCCTGAACATGACCCAGCAGTGTGCCCCGGTGGCCCAAGAAGGTCAACAGCATCCTGGCTTCTGTCAGAAATAGTGTGGCCAGTAGGACAAGTTATCATCCCCCTGTACTTGGCACTAGGTGAGGCTGCACCCACCATACTGTGTTCAACTCTGGGCCTCCCACTACAAGGGCACTGAGGTGCTGGAACGTGCCCAAAGAGCAACGAAGCTTGTGAAGGTTCTAGAGCACAAGTGTTATGAGACGTGGCTGAGGGAAGTGGGGTTGTTTCACCTGTAGAAAAGGAGGCTCAGGGGACACCTTACTGCTCTCTTTAACTAGTGAAAGGAGGTTGTAGCAAGGTGGGGGTCAGTCTCTTCTACCCTGTAAGAAGTGGTAAGGAAATGGCTTCAAATTGCAGCAGGGGAGGTTGAGATCGGATAGTAGGAAGAATTTCTTCACAGAAAGGGTTATCAAGAGCTGGAACAGGCTGCCCAGGGAAGTGGTGAAGTCACCATTCCTGGAGGTACTTAAAAGACATGTAGATGTGGTACTTAGGGACATAGTTTAGTGGTAGACTAGGCAGTGTTGGATTAATGACTGGACTCAATAGTCTTAAAGGTGTTTTCTAACCTAAATCACTGTAGGATTTTATTCTATGATTCTAATGCTTCTCACATATTTTGCCAACAAAAAGACACACGCTAGTTGATGCAAATATGTGGAAAGGTTCTCCAATATCAGGACTAACTGCTTACAAAATGCCCCAGCAGTTTCCATCAGCAGCTACAAAGAAAAGTAAGTTTCCAAACATCTATATAATCAAAGTTAAACTGTAATGAGAGGAATGCTTAATTTCTTCCTACTTAGTAGATCCTAGAACAGGGAAAGTGCAGAAGATGGTCATTTCACACAAACACACTGAAACTGCTAGAGCCTGCGAATTAACGTTAACTGTTCACCATTGCTGTTTACACACTTCATAAGTGGTTCACCTGCAAGTCAATACTGACAACAGGAATAACTGAACAGTAATAGATATATTGAAAGAGTTCAACCTTACATTTGAAAATATTATTTCCAGAGGAAGGCTACACTGATTAAGCACGGAAGTTTTATTCTAAAGATATTCAGACTTGCTTTTTAAAAACTATTTACAAAAACTCCACACAAATACTCCAACTACAACAAATGTGCTTGTACCTTCAGGAAATTTTCAAAGGCGTCTTTAGTTCTCAAACAACTTTCTCTTTCAAGTAACACATTTTTTACACACTTTCTACACAAAGTGACTGGAAATTCCAGCTTCAGAGAAATTTTAAAACTCTTAATTGTATTTTTCTTTAAACATGCTAATTCCATATTGCCTGTAAAGCTTTGGTAGCCTACAAATAAGATTAAATAACCAGGCCCTTGTTTTCCAATTAATTCTCTATTTTAGTATTTCTGTTGTACAGTTACTCATGGCAGTAACAACAGGCTCAGACGAAGTGCTGCAAGCACATGTGCTGTATGCTCATGAAACTAAGCAATACCATTCTCCCCAAACAAATTGTATCAATCCCTACAATACCTTGGCAACGGACAAAAAATTCTCCATACTTCCTTTTCTGTACAAACGTTTCAACATGTAGCAGCAGCACACTGCTTTTCCCAACACAGGGTTTCAGCAACACCAGAGCTGTATAAAATTTCCCTAGTTTGGTAGTTTTAATGAAGAGCATAAACTATACTTCTATGATTCATATAAAGGAAGCCATAGTGTCTGCTGCTTGTATATACAATCATGAAGTTCAGAGCTAAATTACTACAGACATCTGTTTCTGTCCTTGAGCAGCAAGCAAATATTTAGGCACAAGTAATGTAGAAAATAATGTTAGGATAGATGATTTTGAAACATCATTATGAAGGGAATTGAAGAGATGGTCTCAGCATTGAAGAACAGCTGCTTGTAGGTCACACAACTGAAGTGACAGAGGATCCAACATACTGGTATACAGCCAATGCCTTGAGAAGATTTGGCTTAGGCCCAAAATTAACAACAAATATGGTCAATAATTCAATAAAATTAAACACATAAGGATCAGAATCCAATAGGAGATCATACAGGAATTACTACAAGGCATACTCAGAGGCCAATGTGATGTTTCATATGTGTAACTACTGTAGGATTTTGGAAGTTTTTGAGAGCCCAACAGATCTTTGTTCACCATGTCGTTTTAAAAAAAAAAAAACAAACACACAAATAGATGTTCATGAAAAGTATAATAGAAGAGCAGTATATTCTGTATGCTTGCTAGCCGTAATTGTTTGAATTTTAAGTGTACTGGAATTCACTTTTTCTTTTTGGTTCCATGTAATTATTTCAAATTCACTGTGATACTACTTAACCAAATTTTACGTTGTACCACCAGTATATACTACACAAACTAATGCAACAAAACACTTGAGCTCTAGAAACAGGGTATCTTTGAGGGGACAGCCAGAGTAATTGGACATTTCAGAAAGCCCAAAACCCATACCCAGGAAAACAATACTTTTTTTTTGTGTAAAATTGAGAATTCATAGATTTGTAGAAACGGTCATTGTGACAACTTGATATCACAAAGTACGACTGGAATGGCTTCTCTGAATACAATAAATTACAGCAAGTCTCAAAGGTTTCTACAGCTGCTAATAACCTCCAAAATCTGCATGGCTGGGAGGAAGTGTTGCTAGACTGTCTCTGCTATGGACAGACATTGTGTAGAGATTTGTTCCAAATTTATCCAAGACACTGTAGCCAAAGCACCTGATTTTTAACCAACATCTCTGGACTTGGTAAAAAGAAGTTCCTTTTTACGATATGTATTACGAACTAAGCCTGCTTTTATGGAAATACAGCTATGTCTGCCTCAAAGTCACTGCAGCCTAAAGCAACAGCAGCAACTAAGCAAACTGTCAAAGCACAAAAAAGCCCACTGCTGCCACCACCTCAAACTGTAAGCTTCATGGGCCAAGGACACAGAGATAAACAGAATGAAGTTGTTTTGAGAACCGCAGAAGTTACCTCTGAAAAACTAGCAACAAGAAGGCTGCTACCTGTGGATGGATTGTTAAACAGACTAAACAATGAGAAGAAATACACAGCTCCACGGACTAATGGCCCACTTATGGAGAAGTTCATTCAGACTGCACCTTCTGGTTCAGTCTCATGTAAATAAGAGCCCAGTGTGTCTTGATCTTTTGGAGCAAGCACATTAAACTGCTCTTATGAAGTGCTCTCTATTGAGCTGAACTAATACACTGGTGTGGACAATACTCTGAGAAGACAACAGTGAGGAGGATATGGCCAGGTAATGCTCTCTTCTACACACCTCCCCTTCTGTAACAATTACAGCTTGTAGGTCACACGGGAAACGGATTAACTTGGATCTCATCAATGAAGTAAAACAGTTCTGCTTAACACTTCAATTAACACTTAAGATGCCAGGTGAGGGAAAAAGAGAAAAACATTTAAATCTGGTTCAGTCACATGATAAAGTTCCCTACCAAATTATCCAGAACAGCTATTTAATCATAAGTCACAATCACCAACAATTCATGCTGAACACTACAGACAGTGCTAAGAAGCTGCTGCAAAGACCTATCCAAACAATAATGAAGAATACTACTAATCATCATCCTACACAGGCAGAGTCCCACTTTCAAAACATTTCCCTCTCACACATGGCATCAGTGTTACGAACACGGAGGGTTACAGCCTTCAGAAAATACAGTGTCGAGGAAAACAGATGTTTTTTCCCCAAGTGGAAGTATATGTTATTCACTGCAATTTTACATAAAAGTTCCAGGTACTGGCTTTCAATTTAGTCGCTAGAACTGATTCATAGTACTTTAAAGAGAATGAAAAGACCTAGGCCCATCCAAAACTTTAAGGAAACCGTTCACTTCCAAATGAAAATAGTAGCTTAAACTACAGTAACACCAAATCAGAAAGACTGCAGAACCTGCAGCCATTCCAGAAAAAATTAGTTATCTAATTTTAAGTTACTCATGTGTAACTGCAGTGACAGAAGCAGCACTCTTGGCCTTCGTTTACAGTTAAGACCGCTGAGGCTGCATGTGGTGAGCTGGTCAAGTGGATATGGGTTTGCTTCACTTTTGCTACAGTCCCAAAGAACTGCATAGACACTACCACCAAACACTGAAAGGATAATGGCTAAAGAAACCCCTAAACCCCAAACCAAACCCAAATGAGCTATCCTGGTAACACTTGGTAAAGTTAGACATTCTAACATATCCCTTGCTTTTTTCTGTCATTCTCAAAGGTTTCGAGTGACAGAGGAGTTTTGGCTACGTCTGGTATGGCACTTTCTCAGTGCTCAAGAATGACATCACTGTAGTGGCACATAATAAATAGTAGCTGTCAATGTAAATCCAAAAGCTTACAGGCTTTTTCAAAAATTATTTTTCAAGACACCGATTTAATAGAACAGTTTTAAATGATGAATAAAGAAAAATCACAAGATACCAAACATAATTCAAAGTCATTGCATTGAATTTTCAAGTCTCTCTAAGTTATTTCAGAACACTTTAGGGCAACAGTGCTGGAAATACTTTAAATCTTATTAGGCAATAAATCAAGCAGATCTGATCCCTCTAGTGCAGATGCTACGAAAAAAGTATCGCAACGCTTGAATAAAAAGCACATCCATCTGAAAACAGTTTTCTAGAGATAACAACCTTGTAGCTAATTTCCACAGGCCATGATTCCACCCCTTTGTCCCTACTACAGACTGGCTAACATGTTATGAGACACCAATGGGTCGCAACACATTTCCTGAGAAGAAAAGTATTTAAGTATGAAGCATAAACTATTGGAAGTTGAGAGTTAAATTAAAAGACTTTGAAAGTGCTGAGAAGGGATAGTGACACTTTGACAAGCTTACGGACTTTCTGCCTTCGGGCCATTTACAAGATTTCAGAACTGCATCCAGAACTCACTCTTCAAGCTTTATATACCAGGGGGAATTTGAAACAAGTTCCCAAAAGTACGCAGTGATTTAATTTACTACACACATGGCACTCACCCAAACCTTTGAAGAAATATGATCAATATACTTTTATTATTTCAGTGCAGTAAAACAATGTCCTTATTCATTTTATAATGATGGTATGCCACAATAACAGTACAAAAATCTCAGCTTCTTTAGGTCACTTATCATTGACAACCATCTTCCTTCTGAGTAAAACCGGTCTTTTTCTTACATAACTATACTGAAATCGTCTACTATTTTGTCTTTACACTTTACTTTTAACAAATGATCCCAGTAAGTCACCACTACAGATCCCAAACTGGTTCAGGTTTTAAAAAGTTTTCTTTTTCTCCTTCAAGCTAAATGGGTGACTGGATTGCCACTGAGGTTAATTCCAATTAAAACAGATGAATAATTCTTGTTACTACACCACCTGTACCGTAAAATAGCATAAATAGCAAAGCAAACCAAGAGACAAATTACCTTGCCTGTCACACGCTGGTGTCATACCCAGGACAAAGACATAGAAAACCCCCTTCACAATATTTTTTCCTTGTTAGTAAGTATAACCTCTGAATATCACTGCTACAAGTACTAGGCCAACTTGCTATGCAAAGAGGCACATGCAGTTATCACTCCAGTTTACATCTGCATCCTCACAAGTTAATCAGAAGCATAAAGTTACGCTGTTAATAGTAAATAAAAATAAGGCCAAAACAGGCTGCTATACTACCTTCATACATAAATTAGGTTAAGCATTTTTACACTGCACTACAGTAATTAGTGGATCAGATACCCATCCTTGCTTTCAATTTCAGATCCCAAAATTCAGTCATTCAGTTAGGCTTAAACTCTTGCTATCTGTCCACTACAAAAATCAATTACTTGGTGATAATTTAGTGCTCTTCCAGACTTCCCATCCACTCTTTAGTGTAATTTGACTCTTCACTCTTAAACACAGAACTACCATACCTCTTTCACAGTCCTTCTGGCACACTAGCCTCTACCTTCCTCTTTGAACAATCCCAAACCTTCTGTACCATCTCTCACAGCCTCTGCTAACCTGCTTTATGTCTTGTATTAAGGGCACTTCCTTTTCATATACAAATTTAACTCTCTTGAAACACGGTTCCATGGGCTTCAAAGCATCCTCTCACAGTCACAACAGGGATGAGCAGAGCCTTGCCTATGTTTGAGCAGATACAGGTGCAATCAAATATGCACGTTTCATTACAGAAAGAGGAATGCCAAATAGCTCCAAACGGAGCTATTCTGGCTTTCTCCACCACGTTCTTGAGTTACAGAAGTTTCCCTACTTCAGTAAAAATCAGAGAAGGTGGAGAGTGCACTGAGACAAGCCACAATTAGCACATCAGTGTCTCCACTGCCCTGGAAACTCAGTCATACCATTTTAGTATGTCTCTTATGCGTGCTTCTTAAAAGCTGTGCAAACATTCCAGTGTATTAAGAGTGCAAAAATCCCTGCATTCCAGATATTCTCTAATTATGCAGTTAATATTATAAAAAAAATTAAACAAGATCATTTATTGCCTACTTGAAAATATTTCACATGCATATGTAACTGACCTTGGAAGGATTGAATGGCATCCCTAAATATGAAGAGCCTCTGAATCCACAGCGATCCAAGTTTGATCCTGGAAAAGATAAAAAAATAAAGACTCAACTAACTTGCTTTGCTGAAACACTCATTATAATACCATATTCTCCAGTCAAGATCAAGACTTGTTAATTCAACACTATTCACAGTATTACTAGAGTTTGCATGCATCTGTCAGTATGTTCCCAACTTCAGTTTGTTACCACTCTGATTAATAAAAAAAAAAAAATTCAAAGAAAACCACATGCAAACTTGATCCTACTGCAATGACAAAGCAACACATTTTTTTCATTTGGTGGAAATATAGCTTTTGTATCAGCACAGAAATGTCTTCCACGCTCACAAAAAAAAAAAAAAAAAGATTGCTCCCCTGGAAAACTGCCCAGAGCTGACAGATTTTTTTTTTTTTACTTCTCTGGACTCCTGCCTAGTAACACCATCTGTTTCCCAAGCAGAATTGTTTTAAGATACTTTGCAACACAGACAAGGACAAACAAACTGCAGTTTTAAGCTACCATGGATCTAACTCACTACTGTCAGAGTGAAATAGTTAAAACAATATGAAAGGAAAATTTTTAATTGGAGCCATTTTTCTGTCACTCAACACACAGGTACAAGAACACTGTAGCTATTGAACATTCCTGTATTTCTGTCAGTGATGTGTCACACTGCTTGATCACGCAGCATACAGATGTGTGCAGCACACCCTGTCAGCTTTGCAGCACTCGGATCTGCTTCTGCATGGCAAAAACTCAACTACTGCACTCCCCAGCCTCTGGAAGTAAAAGCTAGTAAGTGCTGTAGTTAACAGCACATGGGTGTTCTTAAATTCTCTCCCCTTCTTCTCTATTCAGCTCTTCAGCCTTTAATCTAAAAATCCTCATGGAGATTTGGGAAAATTACCCCAGACTAATCAAACAAAGAATAGTTATTAAGACGAAAGTCCTAAAAAACATCACTGCAATCTGGTCTAAAAGTTCTGGTGTTATTTATCAGAGCATTAGCTGTGTAATTTTAAATACATTCTCTATGTGTGCAACATTTAAACTAGAGGCTTTTATTAGTCTAAGTAGTTAAAAGTGGTTACAGGATGCAAGGCTCTCCGCCAGCTAAGTCTTTGCAAGTAATTTACAGGGAATGAACCACCTGCAATCTTCCACTTCCTCCAACTTCTAATCAAAAGTACTTATTAATGATTCTACAGGTGTAATGAAGGTCACTTCAGCCTGCATTTAAAACTGGTATGCTAGTCATACTCACAAAGAGAAAACAGGAAGAGTATCTGTATTTGTAGCCAAAAAAAATACATAACTGTTACATTTTGTTGTAATCTAAACCTTCTCTGCAGAGAACATTTACAGAGTCAGACTCGCATTTCATGTTGCAACAGGTTCCAGGAAGCACAATAAATATTACTCTTGAGGAATAATCCACTGTCCTGAAGGACACTGCCCAAAAAGCTTCACAATTTGCAAAACTATACAGTGTGAATGAATCAGTAAGAGAAGAACTAGAATTCCTGCTCTTACCTATCAGATTTCATAGGCGACACTGTGGAAAAATCACCATTCACTTGGCCCATTTTCATAAAAAATGGATCTGTGTCTTAAGTGCTTGAGTAAACTACAAAATTCACTTTTCAACAGCACTAATGTGGAAACCCTTAACCCCAAAAAAACATTGCCAGCCTACTAGCACACAGTTGTTCCAGACTGCTGCAAACAAAGCAAGCTACAATTAGGACAGCTCCGCAGTCAAACAGAAGTCAGCTGCTAGTTGCTAGAGGGAAGAATTCATGCCAGAAAGACTAATCCCCATCACTGGCCTTTTAGATTGTAGCTTGTAACTAATTATCAACCTATAAATGGGAGTATGGAACCCAAGTGTATTGTGCTGTTTGTAGGTTGCTTTGATGGGCTTGACTTGACAGCTACTATGAAAAAGAAAGATTAAAAACAAAGCACATGATGGAAATCAGGATCTATGATTTCCCTCAGCTGTTCAATTTTTGTGTAACATTTTAAAGCTTTTTTTGTATTACAAGACTACTAGCAATTAAAAAACAGCATCAGTAATTTTAAAATGCTGGATTTTTTACTGTAGTTATAGTTGATTTGAAATCGATTTTGACTCCTTATGTCAGTGACTTCCCATCCCAGAGTTTATACACTGCACCAGAAAGAAACAGAACAGCATGACTCTTCCATGTCCTTACTACTGCACAGTCTTTAAGGAGAATTTTATCCCCTCTTTCAAACAAAAAAAATTTGTCATTACCGTGCATGCAACAGTTGCTTCCTAGACCAGCAGCATTACAAATGAATTGCTAAATTTCTCGTTACAATTCTTGAGTTAGAAAATGGGATGCTGAGCTGATAAAGGAAGTGTTAAACAGGAAGTGAAAACAGGACATTTCTAACTCAATGACTCTGCCACATTGACTTCATGTCTCAATATTTTTTTTAAACTTCCTGTGACCATACAAGTTTAAAACCAAATGGAAACCAAAGGGGAATGGGGGAAAAAACACCATCTTCCAGTTCATGCACACCACCTCACCTTCTGTGAAGTTGTTTCTGCTATTTGATTGCAAAATACTTGCACTTCTTACATAAATGTGCTTAAAAGTGCTAGTCAAACTCTTGCCTACTTTCCTGAACCACAAACACCCTACTGGAAATAGACATTAAAAACAATTAAAAGGACACGATCACAGTTTAAAAAACTGCTGGAGTGACCAGTTGAGCTGCAGCACAGTCCACCGAGGTGTGAAGAAAAGCTGCAGTTATGAAAAGGTACCACCTAGTGTTCACTTCCAGAGTTAAGCATATTTAACCACTTGAGTTAAAGACACAGCAAAAAGTAACAAACGTTTCATCAGTCGCTTCATACTACTGCAAGCTGAACAAAACAGATCTGGAAAAACTTTTCACATCTGACAACAGAACTAAAGGAAACGGACTCTATTCTCAAACCAAAAGACTCCGCGCTTAAATAAAGAGCCAAGACCTTCCTCTGAAGAAAATCACGTTATGCCAGCTTCAGCCAGAACATCCTTAAAACCTGTAACAGAGCTCCAAGTGATGACCACAGGCAGCTTATCACAGGAGCTCTTTTGTCACAGGAGGGCATGTTTGCCACAATAACATAAATAAGCTTTTTTCAGTGATGACCTATGATAGGACAAGGGGTAATGGGTGCAAATTGGAGCATAGGAGGTTCAAGGTGAATATCAGGAAAAATTTTTTCACTGTGAGGGTGCCGGAGCACTGGAACAGGCTGCCCAGAGAGGTTGTGGAGTCTCCTTCACTGGAGTCATTCAAAACCCGCCTGGACACCTTCCTGTGTGATGTACTCTAGGTGACCCTGCTCTGGCAGGGGGGTTGGACTGGATGATCTTTCGAGGTCCCTTCCAACCCCTATGATTCTATGATTCTATGATCTTCTGTGATTTGTCTTGCATGGGAGGGTCGATAATTTTTACCACTACTTCTTCCCATTCAAGTTACCTATGCATTCTTCTGGTTCCAAGGCTTTTCTCATTTTGCCAAGTAAGGAAGCAAGCTTACACACGTCATGAAAATCTTAATATTAAAAAGCAAAAAATAAAAACCACTGCTTTAACACAGGCTGACAAGTCAGCGCATCCGGATAAAAAGAAGCGTAAGCAATTCTTACTGAACTAGGCCTAAAAATTAATTATTCTTAGAAATCAAAGCACTAGAACATGTCATAAAATGTAAAGTTGAATTCTCTAAAATGGAAGTTCATTATACATCCAGATAAATACTTCAAACGCAGCCATTAAAGAAGGTTGTTGGAGAAAAAGTCATTTCTACTCAATAAACCTCACCAGAAAGCTCACACATAATAATCTCAAAACCAATGACATTTTATTTTTTTAATACTGACACACAAGTAAAACCGAAAGACTGACTAATACAAATCTAAATTTCGACTTTGACAGAAGAAAGTTTTAGGTCTCTGATGTACCATTATGTTTTCAGCCTGCTATGTGTGGGTCCTGGGGGTTCAGACTCACAAATGAAGTACATTTCAGCTCTCCTTCTGGTGCCATTTCTTCATACAGCAAAGCTAGTGAACCATCCAGATGCCAAAAAGTACAATATTCTTCCCTCTCCTTTACTGGGCTGGCACTAGCACTCCCAGCCAACACAGTTCACCAATGCAACACAAATCTAACCTTCTGCTAGATAAATAAACGCTTATTTTTTTGCCACTTCAGCAAGGTAAACCAGCTCTCAAGCAAAGTCAAACAAGTGCCAGTGTTGCTGTGGGGGGAGGATGGTGGAGATATGGCCTAGGAGTATTCCTCCACTGCCTACCTGTAATTAGCTCTTGAGTACAGAGCTCTGGATTCCCCATTTCAGAAATGCCAACTGGTTTTAAACATGACCTGCAGGAAATCTGGATACCTCTTTCTCACACTGCTAAGAGTTGCACTTTTAAAATAGTTAAAATAAATCTGAAATTCTACCTAGGATGTGCTTTATGAGACGAAAAACAGTACATCTCTGTCATGACAAGAATCTTAAGAACAAACAGTTGAAGCAGGCCTTTTGCAAACCTTTTCCCAATTTCACGAACACTTTAAACAAGTACATATAATTTCTGGTAAGGCTTGTAAACAAGCACCACCCTCCTCAAAATGAAAAAGGTGGGGGTTTTTTGGAAGATTTCAACTTCTTTCTAAAAGGAAACACAGGAAGATCTTTCTGCAGTGAACACACAAACAAAACAAAAAGTGAAATAAAAGTAACAACAGCCAAAATCTATGGTATATGAAGCCAGACTATTCTGCAAGAGTTACAGAAGACAAGGGCCCTGCAAATAAGCAGGAGACAGGAATGAGAAAGCAGCTAATGATGGTAAGTTTCTATCTGAGGGTCAGCTCATGTGTCTGACGTACTATTCCCTTTTGGTATCGAGTCAGTCTCTCTACTACAACACTTGAGCTGAAGTTATGGTACCTAAACAACATTATCTGTTTGAAACAAAAAACCCACAGAAGAATACAGTCTATCCTGACAGACCTTAATCTTTAACTTCCTTTAGTGCATTTCAAATAGTCTCAAAGAGTATGCATTTGCTTTCTTACTCGGTGAGATGAAGATCTCACTTTGCATTTATGGGCTTTACTTTCACATGAAAACGTCAAAGGCTACAAACCTCTGAACTGAAGCTTTCATTAGCCATCAGACATACCAGCAAATACAAATATGTTGCCTAAAACTATCACAGTATATTGTGAGACCCTACCTAAGAAATAGTCCAAAACATTGAATTCTGAACTTTCTAGCAAGTTGCACAAAGCCTTGCTGTGGTGGGCTGACCCCGGTCAGCAGCTAAGCACCCACACTGCCACCCACTCACCTCCCCCTGCCATGAGAGGGTGCGAAAACACAGAGAAGGGGAGAAGATTCACAAGTTGAGACAGAGACAGTTTGATATGTGAAACAAAAGCTGTGGGCTGCTGTCCTGGCTGTATCTGGTGGGTGAGAAGGAGTGGAGAGGATAAAAAAGAGGCAGCCTTGATGCTGTGCAGGCAGTACTCATCAACAGATAAAACCCTGATGTCTTACCAACACTGTTTTAGTCATAAACCCAAAACACAGCAGTAGCAGGGCTACTACTAAAAACTAATTCAATCCCAACAAGTAACTATTATAGTGTAGTTACTGATAAAAGTAAACAGATACTAAGTTTGCAAAGAATTGACTGTTCTGTTTCGCATACCTTGGAAAAATAACTGTAAGGTAGCAGTAGCTCTCAAAATAATTTGAACTTGCTATCTTAAAAAACTGTTTTTAATAAAGATCAACTGAAGTGCTATGGATCTGGAACCTCTGTAGGGACAAATAGGAGCAGCGGGGAAATTTATTTTTCAGGTAATAATTACAGGAATTATCTTTTGGCTCATTTTAGGAATTCAGTGATGCAGTCAAAACCAAATGCCAAGATTCTGTGAAAATATATTTCAATTTAAAACATAAGCTTTAAACAGGCTTCCACGTCCAAAACTAGCAAAGACTTAAGTGCAGTACAGTTATTTAAGACAAGACTACTGGAAGTCATCATTCCAGAAACTACATCATAAAAGTGTTATAATTTAAATGTTTTAATGCTTTAAAGGTAAAGGTAGGGGTTTTCTTTATGTGGAAGGATTTTGATGCATCAGACTAGCAACTGTCCTCTTTAACTAGAGATGAACAAGCATTTTGAAACCAAAAACTCTGATGCAGCCTACCAGAGTTACGCTACTTCTTCCAAGAGGCCAAAAGAGGGAGTCAGAGCACTAGAGCTGAGAGGCTGCCAATTAACAAACATCGCAGCCACACAGGACTGAAAAACAGAAAGTCAATATGTTTTATTGAAAGTAAGTATTACAGGAGGGTACACATTCCCTTCTGCACATTTAGTCATCCAATATCCAACTTGCTGCTGTTAGTATCATTTACATTTTGCATCATCTATTGTCCAACAGAGGAAGTAAAAACGGAATAAAAATAATGCTGAAGTTTAAGAGGTCAAGTGACCACACAGAGCAGTGTTAGTAACAAAAGCAGAAGAGTGTAAGGAAAATAGAATTATTACAAAGTAATACAACAATACAGGATTGGAGGGAAGTTTGTCCTTTTGATGAAAAGGAGAGATTCATCACTTAGAAGCACAGAACACACTGCCAAAAGCACCCTCCCCAAAACTAATCTCCTGTAGTTTTATGATGGGATGGATAGCTAGAAAAAGACAGAGCACATCTCAACTGTGCTGTGGATTAGTAGCCACCATATCCGCGTGCTGAAATTTATACTGCTCTGCCTAGGGACTATTGCCTAGGTAGAACCTCATCGTCCCCCAACCCTGAGAATTAATTACTGCATACTGTCAAAGACAAACAACAAAATGCCTATTCTAATTGCTCTTCTTGCAAACTTCACTGTTCTTTCAGAATACATTCCTGAAGACTGGGATAAAGATCTAAAAGTAACTCCTAAAAACAAAGCATGTACACCCTGTGAATTTTTTTTAATGCTAAGGGACACAAACCTTCTCATGACTAAAAAACTTGCAGGCAAAATTATGCCACCCAAACCCCTTTACCTTTACCTTTAAGGCATTAAAACATTTAAATTATAACACTTTTATGATGTAGTTTCTGGAATGATGACTTCCAGTAGTCTTGTCTTAAATAACTGTACTGCACTTAATTTTCTATAATCAGTCCTGACTGATTATAAAACACAAGAAAAAATAAATCTACTTGAATTAACGCCCTGGGGTAGATCTGATAATTTGAAAGTCTACAGAAGAAAAAAAGGCATCTTTTTATTCCCACAAAAATCAAGCATCAGCAATCTTGACTTCCGTATGTGTATCTCATAAACACGCTCTTATTTCATAAAACTGCTCTTCGGAAAGGGACCCGATTTGTAGCATGCAATTAGCCAAGATACTATATACACAATTTTCTCTCTACAACCAGCAAACACACAAAGTACACGGTTGTGATTTTACAGACGGGCACCTGGAATCACCTTTTCTCTGGAGACCAGCCTGGGGCCACACAGCAGTAGTGCCTTGCCCACATCTTCCACCCACCCCCTCTACTGCCATTAGACATTCACCTGCACCGCCATAGGAAAAAAACTGCCAATATCGACTGGCCCACGGAAACAGCACCCTCCTGGCTTCTGTCAAGTCACTGGGACAGGGACACTACCTGTGTGCTCCCTCACCAGCTTGGATCTGCTATGCACCTTCCAAGCTGAGGACAGCTGAGGAGGCAGCAAGAGCATCGCCCTTTACAAAAACCTTAGGTAAATGTAACCTTCACAGATACAAGGAACTGATTTTTCATTTTAAAGCAGGAACTGTGTTTGTGCTTTTTGCTTCTTAACCTTACAGCTTCTGTTTCCAAATGGTAGTCCAAATAACCACACCTGTGCTCAGAGCTCTTGACATGCCTACAATTACTGGAAGTCAACATAACTACTATTAGATTTGTAATACTTACATAACATACACATTTCTTTTAGGACCAGGTGAAACATTCTTCCAAGATGCTTAGAGATCCAACTTCATTACACTATTTTATACTGTCTTGTCAGCAAATTAATTTCATAGCTTCACCCTGTATACATAAAAAAGCTAAACTAATTGCTTCTTCTAACTTTTCTACTTTTGAGGATCTATTTCTATTGCTCTAACATCACTATCTAAAATTATTAGGACAGCACATCAAGAAGGTCACCCTTGTATTTCATAAAGATCAAGAGCCATCCACTATTCCCAAGGTGAAAAGTAAAGGTAAAGATGTTAATATCATTGAAAAAAAAAGCTAAAAACTCACTCACTGTCTTCTGTGGGAAGGACCTGCAGGGAATAAATCCATTCTATTATATCATCTTTGTTCACCACATCTAAGGAATCCAACATATCCAGACCAGAGAGTGCGAAAAATGCAATTGTCAACCTAAAAGAAAAAGATAAGACTTACACTTCCCACCATAAATATCATGGGGAAATTAACAAACCATTGAAGAAACAGAAATATCTAGGATTTCTCAGCCTTTTACAGTGGTGCCACACATAGAGCCCAGCTCATAAAGCATTACATTTATCTACTGGACAAAATTATATTCTTGGTGCTGTAAATATTTCTCTGTCACAACAAAGCTTCTCATTTAAGCCACCCCTCCTTTTATATAGTAAAGATATGCCAATTCAGACAATAACCTAAGGGCCGGCTTACCAGGAAAAAAAAAAAAAAAAAAACAAACTACAAAGTAAGCTAGGTTATTAACATATGGAGCACTAGTTCTCTGTGATGAATTCTCAGGTGAAGAAACCCCCAAATATGCAGGAAGTGCAAGGTAACCCTGGACTGCAGCAAGCTGCCTCTCATTGCCTCTCCAGTTTCAGCTGCTTAGGAGTTAGCTGTCAAATGCCAAGGCTTCCTTTGTAACAAATGAATGTAGAAATAGGCACACAGGATGTCTTACCATCTAGAGGTACTGTTTTCTTGTCCTTTGGTATAGAGCAGCCTAGATGATTAATTTATTTAAGCATTTAAAATTAAGCACATTGAATCCAAATATCCAATACAGGAGTGCACTAGCTAGCATGCAGAATGTCCTTCTCGCTCATA